CCGATGAAGCCACATGCCGCTCTAATATCCTCCCCGGGTTTTGAGGCCCAAACCGCCAAACGCCACATGACCGCTCGCGATAGCTATAATTCATGGTAACGTAACCCTATATTTGGATTCGGATAATAGTACCGATCGGTGAGCTCTAAGCTGCTAGATGGTATGCATGCTTAAGATTAAGTATGGGCAGCGAGCTAGAGGATGCATGTACTCAGCGTGCATCTCGTCAGCTTAGTGCATCTTAAGGGCTTGTCTGGGAGAGCTCCACCAGCTCCAGATCCACCATGGATCTGCTCCACCCCAAGACATTGATCTGACTCCAGATCCCCCAAATTGGTGGAGCACCAAACTCAAGTTTGGTGGAGTTAGAAAAAATTACACACCGCTACCACTAGTTACACACGAAAGATACCAGTTCATTCTAATTTCTTCTTCTCCGCATGCGGCCCAGACCTCGGCCATCTCCCGCACCCAACCACCATGGCCACTCAAGCCCCGGCCGCGACTCCGGCCTCCACGTCGGCTGCGCCCACGAGCTCTGCATCGCCGCCTAAGCCCTTCCCCGCCACGCAGCGAACTCTGGCCGTGTGGGAGCCGTCCCCCGTGCGCGCCTAGACAGGCCGCGCGCACCCTTCCCTGCCGCGCGTGTCTCCTACGCCGCCGCGCGAGATCCACCCTGCTGCCATGGCTGCACCTGGTCGTGGCTGCGACCTCCTCTCATCCTGCGCTCGTGCGGGTTGGGTGGAAGAAGAAGAGGTCGTGCTTTTTTATGTATTTTTTATTATGCTCCATGATGCGTGGGTCCAGTTGTTAGTGAGATAGAGATAAGTGTGGAGCTATACCAAACACTTTGACAAATCCTAGATTCATGGTGGAGCTACTCCCCGGTGGATCCACATGAATCTGGTGGATCTAGCTAGGTGGACATGAACGCACTAAGTCCTTCCTGTCGTGCATGCATGTATGTGTTCCTGGAATGCTGCACGCTTAGCTTGCAGGAGCTGGGGAAATAATGCATGGAAATTTGGAACCATCTGTGCGTTGTTATTTGACGAATCCGCAGCGTGAAAGCGTGATATACCTGCCATTGTAACCATGAACGCGACGTGGCGTATATATGTTTCTTTCTGCTGCTAAGATGATGCGTTGTTTTGTTGCGCTAGCTAGCCATCCACACATCGCCTTTTATAGCAAATGTAAAGGGACGAGAACCGAGCTAGTAGTGCAGAGTGGCAGCGCAGCCAGGTGAGCGTGGAGCCACAAAGGGATTTCAATTCTAGAATCGGGCTGGCACTTCTCATTGAGATTTTTCCTAACAATAGTCCGTTGCCTCTTTCACGTGAATCTGTGTGTAGTTATACGTCTAGATGTGTAGTATGAGTGAGTTGTGCATGAGTAGCGTGGGTGTGTGCTTGTATATGAACATATTCTACACATGTATCCAGATGAGAGGAATCAAAGAAAAATGTAAAGGGACGCCCCGCCACAGAAGCACATCCCCTATTCAGCTATGGTGCACATTCGATGCACAAGCGTCAAGGCGCCGACAAGGCGGCAACTAACAACTAAGACCATATTTGGATCTCATGGTTTAAAGTTTAGTTGGTTCAAATTAAGGGCTAATTTTTGGACCATTTTACTTGGTTTAATAAACTAATGGTGTTTTATGATGTTAGCTAAAATTTAAATATCATTTTGGACCGAAAGTTAAGTGCTAAATTTAGACCATTTTAGCTCACTTGAGGTCCTGCGATTCGGCCTGCCGGTGGAAATTCGTTGGTATTTAGGCAAACTATGTTATGGGATATTGGAAAAATAAGATTTTGTCTCCATCATACCACCAAAATCTAAATGTCTGAGTATCATTATTAGATCGTGTTTGCTGTAACACAACTCAGCACAATAGAATATGATTTTCACTCCTTTGAATGGACGATTTTGCCCCTGGCTCGGCCAACGCAATTCGACCCAACCCATTAACCCTAGTTGTTCGCTCTCCCTCTCTCCCATCATCTTCTTCCTCCTGGAACCGCTCACTCTTCGTCCTATCTTTTTTATTTTAATTGGATAAAATTTGGCTAAGCCCTATTAGAATCCAACATGACCCAGAGTCCAACTTGATTGACAAGGTTGCATACTTCTTCCACTCCCACACGGGCTCCGGCGAGGGACACGCAACCCCCGCAGAGGAAGATGGCTCCTGATCGAGATGATGGAGGTCAGCATATCGCAACAGAAGAGTGAGGAGCAAGCACGAGAAGGGCGAGAGGTGCGTGGGAAATGCCTAGGGCACCCTGGATGGCGAGCTGAGGCTGCATGCCCACCAAATGGTTGTGAGTTCTGACTACTCGAGCTTGGTAACTTAGAATACTTTATTATGCGTTTGCTACCGTGTTGATTAAAATTTTTAGAGTGTAGGGTTAGATACATACCCAAACAAATGAAGAATGCGGAAGCCTAAACACTATAGAAAAAATACACAAGCAAGAATGACACTGAGACATGATGTTTTTTGACAAGTTTCGTCCATCAGCCTTACATCCTCACGACATTGACTATGGGTGCTCTTCACTGTAAAACAACAGTTACATCGGCATTCGGATGCTATTGCGTCCTCATCGCTGTCCGAACCAACTGCCAACACATCTCATCAGATACACCAAGGGTTGTCTCATATTTATGACCCCTAGGACACAATGTTCGACTCCAACTCTATCATAATCCCTAATACAACTCAAGTTGTAGTGTAACCAAATTGCACACGTATTCCATACATATTTAACAATATTGAGTTTCAGCAGTAGCCTTTGTACTTACTGTAGTCATGATTCTGTGTTTGTGCTAGTGGAGTATGAATGGTGTATCTTTCGGGAATTACTGGATTAGTTAGTTTAAGCTGAGTTGGTTAAGTAGATAACACTTGGTTTTACTTGGGTTTGGGGACCAAATGGGTTGGGTTGGTTCTAACTCAGTTTCAAGGGTTGGGTTGGACCCATTTCATGTTTGGCTTGAGGGGCGGAGCCATTCTAATTTTCTATTTGGTAGGGTTACGATGGATGCTATCTTAACCCCATTAGCTGCTACTAGCCATGGCACCCAACTGTCAGCCACTCAACCAGCTTCTTCTACCTCCAGACCACCAGATCCTCGACTCGCCCTGCTGCCCAGCGTTGCGGCCCGCGGCACCGCGCCCCCAACCACGACGAAGGAAGCCACGCGGGCTAGCACCCACGCCGCGCTCCTGCCCCCAGATCCCGTGCCGCGCTCGTGCCACCGGCCCCGCGAGCGACCTCCGCCCCGGCACCGGTGAGCTTCGCCCCAGCCGTGCCGCGAGCCGCCGGCGGGCGAGCTCCACCCGGGCACTGCCGCGCGAGCGACCTCCGCCCTAGCTGTGGGACCCAAGTACCGATGGGCGAGCTCCGCCCCAGCCCTGCTGCGAGTCGACGGCAGCCCCGATGGAGGAAAGCCACGCTGCCTAGCACCCGCGCTTGCTCGCGTGACCCAGTGCAGCGCCCACCCGCGCGGCACCTACGCGGACAGAGGAAGAAGACGGAGGCAAACAGCGTTCAACTGTGTTCGCTCGGTCCGCTCGATTTGGAGGTACCAGGCCTAGGCCGACCCACATCTTATGTGAATATGCTCCTCCGGGTCTGACCCGGTTCAACCCGACCCCAAACCCAGGGTCGGTCCTAAGTTTTTCTGGACATAGAACGAAACTAATTTTTTTAGATCTTTTTATATAAATATGATAATACTACTAGTACTACTCATTGGTAGTATATATAATATACACACATATACAATGTTACTAATAAACAGTTAACTTAATGCAAAAATAATATTCATATGAAATAATTTGTATACACATCAAATTACCTCAAAAAATTCTTATAACATTCCTCGATGCGAAGTCATCGACGATGGTGTCAATATCAATCTCATCCAACAATCGCTTCTCAATGCATAATGTTGCCAATGCATCTGGATCTCTTGAATTGAAACACTAGTATTACTCTTAAGAAATTTATGAAGAGCTCCTCAATGTATTGTATCAAATCATCTATTTGCTTTTTGCTTTTTCTTTTGTCTTTCTTGATGGTATGGTACTGTTAAAATTAAGAGAAACAATTAGTAACTATAATTTCATAAAATAGGGATCACGTGAGAAATAATTAGTACTAAATTTCAGATTCGGAGATTCATACCTTGCTGCCGCCTGGCGCCTGCCTCCTCTGCTAGACTGCTGCCTTCTGGAACTGTCGTCTACCGATAGTGCCGAACAGGGATGAGGGAATAGGGCTCAGGAATCAGGGATTATGACCCTATGTGGCTGTGTGAGAACTGATTTGCCGCCTGCTCTGTGCCTCTGTTGGAACGCCGCCAGGCCCCTCAGACCCTCACGCGCCCACGCCCACGCTGCACGTGCACATCGCGCAGCGCAGGAAGGAAGGCGGAAGACTCGGGGAGCGTGCGTGATCACGGGACACGGGGAATCAGCCCGTGTTTAGTTCTAAAATACCTTCTCAAAAAATGCTACAGTTCCCATCATATCGAATCTTGTGATACGTGTACGGAGCATTAAATGTAGACGAAAAAAAACTAATTACATAATTTGGTGGGAAATTACGAGACGAACGTTTTGAACCTAATTAGTCCATGATTGAACATTAATTACCAAATAAAAACAAAAGTGATACAGTAGCCAAATTCCAAAATTCCCTTCAACTAAACACGCGCAGCGATTCGATCTAGCGTCTCGTATTCTTATTGCATACCTGGGGAGGGGCCCATCGGTATCGTGGGCCTGGGACGACCATCCCTCCCGCCCCGCCCCAGGCCGGGCCGGCCCTGCCCAAACCAAACACCTCTAAAACTAGCCGCTGCACAACATTTCGCTTAAATCAGTTTTTTCCCCTGTGTATACATACAGTTACTCAGTTATTTAATTTGGTCACGTCGATGATTCTGTAGTATTGTCAACTAAAATTACAACGACTTTGCTATATCACCATAAATGGAAGAAATTTGACAAGAAAAGAATGAACACCTATATACACAGCTGCAATGACCACAAATGCCAGCGGCAACAAGACGAAGAGGATGCCAGGTTTCTTGCTCCACCGCCCCATGACCGCCAACCCAAACGGATAGAGGAGCGCCATGATCCACACGTTGAAGAGAATACCCAGCGCCGCATGCCTCTTCTGCACCGCAGACCATGCTCCGTTGTACACGACCGCTTTGCCCAGAGCCACGCCGATGGCCATGACATTGGAGAACAGCACCACCGCCGGCGGGATCAGCATGGGCACCCACCGCATCTCGTACATGTCGGCGTACCTGTCGTCGTCGTCGTCGTCAGCTGCCGTCGTCGTCGTCTGCTTCGAGGTGACCCTGAAGTGGATGCCCTTCCCCGTGATGGGCTTCACCACCATGTGCAGCACCGCCGTCGGGTACGCGCTCATGGAGGCGATCATGAAGAACTGCTCGTTGCGCCACCAGTCGTTCCACGTGATCCCTGCCCACTTTATCTCGAAGACGCCGATGGTGTGGATTAGCCCGACGACGATGACGATGTACAGCACGTAGCTAGTGAACGGCCTCTGGATGATGATTTCAGCCGGGATCAGCCACATCACCGGACAGAAGGCGTAGAGCAGGAGGAAGACGGACGTGACCGGGTAGATGGTGAAATTCAGGTACGCCGCCCGCTGCAGGAGGTGGAGCCGGCGGCCGGAGAGCAACGGGTTGTAAGGGGAGAAGAACACCTCCATGGATCCACCGGACCACCGGACGATCTGGTAGAGGCGCTCGGTGAGGTTGATGGGTGCAGTGCCTTGGAAGGCCTCGCGCTCCATGCTGCAGTACATGGAGCGCCACCCTTGCCCGTGGATGCGATAGCCGGTCACGATGTCCTCGGTTGCAATGTTGTATATGTACCCAACGCTGCTGCCCCAGTCCGTCCCTTGGTCGTACGACGACGACACGACCATGGTCATCTCGGCGAGGGACGCCTCGTCTAGCTCAGGAGGCGCGATGCGGCGCTCCTGCTTCAGAGCTGCCAAGACCGAGTTCAAGAAGAGCACGGAGTTACCGAACTTGTTAGTGTCAACCGTGACGCCGTGCTCCTCGTCGGATCTCGAGCGAGGCGGTTCGACGCCGTAGAGCGCGAGGCGGCGGAACATGCAGCCGGTGCCGAGGTACGTCGGCCCCTGGAGGCCGTTGAGGGCGTACATGGCGCCGTCGAAGAAGACCCTGTTGTGGTTGCCGTACCGGTCCGTGGGGTCGACGTTCTCGAACCGCTGCGGGAACTGGACGAAGCCGGTGCCGTCGCCCTCCCTCGCGTCCAGCATGAAGCACATAGCCGCTCGCAGGGCCTGCGAGTTGTTGATGTAGTGGTCGCAGTCGAAGTTGATGGTGAAGGGCGCGTTGGAGAGCAGCGCCGACACGCGCAGCTGCGCGTTCAGGTTGCCCGCCTTCTTGTTGTGCTCGCGGCCCGGGCTCTTCTCGCGGGACACGTACACGACCATCGGGAGCCGAGTGTCGACCCCGTCAAAGTTGAGGGGGTTGATGTTGTTGCCGCCCTCTGCTGGAGGAGGCTCACAGACACAGCTCGGGTGGTTCTGCACAATCTGTCAGTCACAGAGCAAGAAAAACACAGATTACCATTTAGGAATGATTAGCTATGTCATACACTAGACTAGAGTGAACCAACCTTGCAATTGGTCATACATACATACCTTGACAATGCCAGCATGGTCTCCTTTCCTGTGGTTTCCTGCTGGCTCAATCCAAGTGCCTGGCCACTGCGTGCCATTAGCCATCCAAGTCGCATGTGCAGCTCCTTCCTTTGCTTTCATGCTGTTATACACATCTGACCTCTCCTTGATGGTGCTAGGGAGCATCTCCAGCCTCGCCTTCAGCTCCTCGTACTCCCTCTGCACATGCCTGTAGTCGTTCATGAACTCACCCGGCGACCTCCCGTTGTAGATCATCCCCTCCAGCTGGAAGTAGCTCTCCGGCGCTCTCGGCTCGACGGAGTGCTTCCGGCAGAAGGGCACCCACAGGGCGGCGAAGCTCGCGGCCTCGACCAGCGCCTCGTACAGGACCAGCGCACCGCTGTCGTCGGTCAGGTAGCACGTGAGCCGGTCCACGGGGTAGTCGGTGGCCAGGATGGAGAGCACGCAGTTCATGGTGTACAGCACCGGCTCGCTCACGGGGTCGGCGGTGGTGACGAAGACGTCGATGCCGGGGAGGATGGAGCCGCCGTCGGGGAGGTCGTCGTAGTGCTGCCGGAGCGCGGCCAGGTTGGGTGTCCGTTTGATGGGGCTGAACTTTGGGAGCTGGTAGAGCAGCCACGACAGGGCGAACCACACGTCGCCGACGACGGAGGTCACCCAGAACCACATGACGTCGGAGTTGTTGTGCTTGATGCGCCATGCGATGAATAGGATGACGGCGACGAGGCGCACCAGAATCAGTACCCTGTTTGTCACAAGTGGAAAGTAGCATGCATAAGGGTACTGGTTCCTGAAAGATGCCGGTTTCGTACAGCTATGGGTTCTAGAAAGCTGTTTTCAATTTTTTTTTGAGCATATGTTAGTAAGATACCATTGTCAGAAAAAGGAAATTGTATGGACTACAATCTGCACGTTTTCGTTTTTAAGATGAAATGCAGAATCAGATTCAACTGTAGTGCTCTGCTTTTCAGTAAAGGCATGAGGCTTTGCAGACAGAATTATTTCAGCAAATTCCCATGCCCCCTCCGCGCCCCCACAGGCCCACACTCACAAACGACCTTGGTGATCTTTCATTGATTGCATACTCTTTGCCTCAGTTCATTTTTTAACTAATGCCTAAGTTCAGTATCATCCAGATCATTTGGACAACCTTTACTCTTTCAAACTCTGTTTCAATGCTTTTTTTTTGGTCTTTTTAAGGCAGGGCAAGAGAATTGCCATGACTTTTATTAGATGAGAGAAAAGGGGAAACAAAAGGAGAGCAAGATACAACACCACCAAATGGCTCGGCCCCGACTACCATCGAACAAGATTCAACCAAAAACTGCCCCCACCACCAACGAAATAAAACACACACAACAACGACAACAAAAACTAAGAAGAGCTAGCTTCCGATCACATCACAAAGAGCTAGCCATCGATATCATCTTTCATAAGCTAAGACGACTATTTAGGATGGCTGCAAATCCTTATGTTTGGAATGTTCTTTGGTTTCTTTCCTTCTAAATGTTCCACCACACAAAAGTTTGAATCCCGTAAAGAAAACATTTTGAGTTTTTGCCAAATTTGGCTCGGCACTATTTCAACGTTTTGAACATATAATTCATTACGACAGGAGTGGAGTCTAGATTTGGACATAGCAGGGCCATTCAAGCTTTTTTTTAACGTAAAGGGCCGTTCGAGGTAGCAACAATCATACATGATGAAGTACATACATGGAAATGGTATAGATAATAAGCAAATAAACATTTACTTTGATGGTAAAAAATAAAAAAAACTGAAAATTACAAAGAAAATGGGGTCAAAATTTAATTATCCCTAAATCTCTAACATCCCCACCAAATCTATTTAATTCTTAGGCAAAAAAATCATGGTAATAAAAAGAACAAAGGAGATGAGAAAGATAACAGGAAGACTAATCCTAAATAATAGAAATAATGTCGTTGAAGATCGATATGGTTGGAGAACGAACAAGCAAAGCACTAATTACGTTTGCTAACTAGCTAACTAGAATTATATCGTACAGAGAACAAAAGGAATAATACAAAAGATAATAAAAAAGACCAATCCTACGTTATATGGATACCATTAGAAACTATTACCAAGGAAGAACAAACAATGGAAACACTAATTAGCATTATTAACTAGCTAATTGAAAATTAACTAAAGAAGAGCAAATAATTAAAACACTAGTTTTGCATTATTAACTAGCTAATTAAAAATTAACTGAGTAAGGGCAAACAATTAAAATAATGTTAAGTAACTATAATTAAAAATTAACTAAGTAATTAAGGGGTGCACTGCAACCTTCAGCTCCACACCCCACCCCAAAGTCCCAAACTGCATTATCCATGTTTTGCCTCCCGAACTGAATGCAAGCCATTGATGTAGCTTATAAACATCCGGTTGTTTTGAAGGAAAATAAACATCCGGTTGTTGTCTAGCTTTTCCCTTGATTTACACTATTATTATTATCAATCTACTCAAACCATCTAAGCTCTAAGGCATCATTCAACTTTTGTGTGCAACTGTGAAAGCAGCACGCACCTGTACGGGTAGAGGAGGGCCGCCATGACCTTCTTGTTAGAGAAGAGAAGCGGCCGGTCGCCGCCGCCGCTCTCCACGTCCGCCACGGCCGGCTGGTGGTGGACGTCCACCCAGTACCCGTCCTTGGTCTTCACGGCGTCCTTCTCCTTGTTGGCCCTGCTCCCGCCGCCGTGCGTACAATTGGCCACGACCACCGCGGCCAGTGCTCCGTCGTGAAACCCGCCGTCGTCGCCGTCCGCGAGAAGCAGCGGCTCTCTGAGGCCGGCGGCGGCGTCGTGCTCGCTAGCAGCACCGCCGGCGCCGGGCACCGGCGAGGACGACATGGCATGCACAAAGGTACGGCTTGAGAGCCTCGCGATTGATTGGCCAACAAGGCTGTGTCACTAGGCACACACAGATTAATTGCTTACGTGGAGCGTGAGGACTGTGCGGCACGCACAGCCTAGAGGAGGGCCGGGATTTGTACGGTACACTACAGCATGCCACGGGGGCATATATATACATACAAATTTCTACAGCTCGGCTGTCACGAGTGCAAAGAGGTAGTGGTACTTAACATATATATAATAATATAAAATATATGGTGGCAACGATTCTGTTCGCTTGATCGTTTCTGTGGCTTATAAACCGGCTGATGTTGTTTTGTTGTGAGAGAAAAATAATGTATCATAGCTGATAAGCATAGTTGATACGATCAAGCGAACATGACAAAAGGCATGGCGACGCCCATTTATCAGCTATAAACTTGCTTCTCTTTTTTTTTAAAAAAATCAGCAAAGTGAGGAATTAATCTCCAGGCATGCAGTATGAAAGAAGATCGGTGAGGACAATTATAACACCATATAACTCATATTTCTAACCAATGGGCACGGTATTGTACCAATTTCATTGAACGACTAGCGCAGGCTAGCAACAAGAACAACAACAACCAAAACATAACTAGAGGCGAAGCAACAACGCCGCCACTGCAAAGTGACCAGAGAGATATTGACCAAGTAGCTATCCATTGCCAAAGACAAAATAAATGCCCATGCTGACTCGATACGTAGAGGGGTACTCCAGAAAACACGTCTAGGACGACGTGTATGTTGTCTGTCATTTGTTCGACAAATCGAACAGGGTTTTCAGATAAAGATATAGGTTATAGGTTACCACGACAATGCCACCGACAAGAGGAGTGGCACAAACAACAAAGGCTTTGACCTACGACCCAAAGATCCATCCTCCACGAAGCTACATCAGAAATCTAGTCACCAAAAAAAATCTTAGAAAGGCCAATGAAAACCAAAGAAGTAATCATGCCACACTAGGGAAGAGACAGTGACAATGAGCAACATCGCCACAAGACCAAGCCTCAATGATGGGTTGAGGCAGGCAGAGCAGATACATGTCTAGGGGTATAGCCAAAGTGATGACAATGTAGAACCAAAGTGACTACGATGATAGAACAGAAGCGGTGGCATCAACACAATGCAAAATTGGAAAAGAAAGGCGCAAAATATGCCACAATAAGCAAGGGGTGTCCAAGGCACAATATTCATCGATGATGCCACAATACCTAGGTGTTGGGATATGATACTGATATCAACCAATAGCTAAGATCAACTTGGTGCTTAAGTTTTTGGTCGACTTGTAAGGCACCTACATGAATTGATTAATTGTTGCAATTGGCAGTCATCCCAATTTAAGTAGGTTTCTACCCTAGTACCCGGGGCCTATGAATAAAGAGGTAATGTCCCTGGGCAACACCACTACACTAACCAAACCACAACAAATCAACTAAGGGCGCAAGAAGGACTCAGAAGCATGCGACCGTATCTAGGATAGTGCCGGTGGCATCAAGAGGGTTGGTGGCTCGTATGTCATTTTCTTCATTGATAGAGAACATGTAACACAAATAGACAATAGCCGGTAAAGCCCATGCACCTACATCATCTATGTTGATCAATGCATCAACACTAGAGACATTGATGGCATATTCAATCTATAGTCTACATCTACTAAGCCATTTGCATTCATTTATTGGTTTAAACCATGACCATCTCCTAAAATAAGTCAAGGTCCTGACTTTATGTATGAAATATATGTCTTATGGCTAAGTTATGTTCAACACTAGCCACAACAAACAAATTGAGGCAGATGGGGGAATAGGGGAAAATTGCTCTGTGTGTCACCCAAAAACCTAGGAACAACCACATGAAGAGGGATTTCACCAACATTGTATTGTGCAAGAAAAGGGTCTTGTTCGATATAGAAAGTTCATCACCATTGGTTCTAAACCCCCTTCACTGTTGATTATCATCGTTGTTGGTCATGGCCTCAGTTATCACCACCGGTTCAAAACCAGGTGGTGGTAAACTTCAGCACTGCCAGCTTGGCATTCAATCCGGCGATGATGTCATTACCATCACCATCGTGTCAAAGTTCAATCTAGCGGCAATCAGTTGAATACCATTGTCGTTTGGCAAATGATCTGGTGGTGACGATGGAGACATATCAATGCTAGTATGGCAAAAGATCCGGCGATGATGATGGAGATATCAACATCGATCGGTCATACCATCCGGCAGGGGCAGGAGAAGGGAGCATGGAACCACTGGCCTCCATTCACCTGAGGTGAGGTCCACTAGAGACAAGGAACATGATCACTAGCAAAGTAACTTGGAACTAAATCAAACACGACGACCATCGCAATTATAATCAAAGTGAACTAGAGCAAAGGAGAAAAGGATAGTGACACGATGACAATAAGGGCAGCCCAAGGTAGCTGGGTTTAGGTGTGGAGACCTAAGTGACCCAAGACACTTCTAACCTTGGCAGAGCTTTATCGGGGATAGGAAACCTAGTGTGGTGATCCATGTATGTAACCTACCTCCACAACAAACCATCATATACCATTACTGACCACCATGATAAAAACTATGACAAACACCACACCCCGTTATCAAGAACTACAAGGCAATGACTAGAATCAAGTGTCATAGCACCGAGCAAGTAGCATGTGGCCCAATGTACCAAGATTACTACCACCATACTTAGCAGAGACCACCACACTAAGGGACTAGTGTCAAGAAATCCAGAAAGCGATGAACCCAAGCTAGAGCATGTCCAACTACCCAAGGTAGTTCTTTGGTGCATGATGGATCCTTGTCATAGCTTTGTCCTGATAGGGCAAAATGTGTCATCGATGGGAGGCTGCAGAAGACATCACCTAGCCAAAGTGCAACACAGATGTCCTCGACATCGCGCACAGCGGTGACCATGTTGGACAGTCATTTCTACTGAGGTGACAACATGGGCGTGAGACAAGGAGGAACGACATGATGTGACAACAGCCTCACCATCCGTGAGGGGAACCGTTTGGTACCATGTTGATCCAAAAATGACAAGCTCTATCCTAGCATCATGGCCGATTCAGCGAGTAGGGTGCAAAGGGGGCGGGCTACTCTCATGCTAGAGGGGAATCCTAGCCCCAACATAGTTATGGTGAGCTCGCTAAAGGGGAGGAAGGGGTGGACAGGGATGGCAGAGGTGGAGGCTCGCTGAAAGGTCTTAATGGCTAGAGGGGGTGAATAGCCTATTAAAAATTTCAACAACAACACTAAGACAAGTGATTAGTCAATAAAATGGTGAAGCCAATTTTGTACTAGCACTACACTTGAGCTTGCAAGCCACCTACCTAATTCTAATTTCTATGATCTCTAGTATGTCACACAAGAGCTATGTCGCTAAATTACACCTAGGTTAACAAAGCTAGCTAGATAACTACAACTAAAGAGATATACAAGCTACAAGCACTACACAAGGTGAATACAAAGTAATGAGGGAGAAGGGTAGAAGTGATATACCACCATGGCAAGTGATCGTGAATATCAATGAATACCGATGAGACAATCAAGACACAATGATTTTTCCTCCGAGGTTCACTTGCTTGTGGGGCAAGCTAGTCCCCGTTGTGGTGATTCACTCACTTGGTGGTTCACGTGTTAATAGGCATCACACGCCTAACCTGCAACCGGATGCCATACAACCAAGACAAGATGAGGATCCACAAGCCATGTGAAATCCACTAGAGTTGCCTTTGGCGTTCCACCGCAAAAGGCACAAGAACCCCTCACAATCACAATGATCGAAGCCGGAGACAATCACCTTCCTCCGCTCGACGATCCACCAATCACCGGGCCGTCTAGGTGTCGACAAACACCAAGAGTAATAAGAACTCCACTAGCCCAAAACGCCCAACTAGTGCCACAAGATGCTAAAACACTAAGCAATACACTAGAGGCTCTCCAATCTCACTCAAGATGATGAAATCAAATGAGTGGAGTGGTGTGCTCAGCTCTCAAATGGTGTATGCAGCTGTTAGAAGTGCCAAGAGAGTGGTCAAAGCCGGCCACTAGCTCTATTTATAAGCCCACAAGCAAATAGAGTCGTTACCCTTTAGAGCTAGCCTTTGCGAGGGCACCGGACACGGCGGTGGTGGCACCGCCCTAGGGGTGGCAGTGCCCCAATGATCGAATCCAACGGCTAGTTGACAGGCTAGACGATCACTGGACAGGCGGCGGTGGCACCGCCCCTAGGGTGGCGGTGGCCACCTGGTCAACCCATCAAAAGCACTAGTCTCTGGACAAAAATGGCGGTGACACCGCCTACCAGTGGCGGTGACCAGGAGGTGCACCGCCCACACGAACGTTGTACACAGGACACACCGGTGCCCGCGCCCACGCTGCTACTTCTCTACCGAGTCCAGGTGGGCACCGCCCTAGGGGTGGCGGTGCCACCGAACAGGGTGGCGATGCCCCCAACCGAACACCTCCCTCTAGGCCACCACTGTCGGTCACCGCCACAGGGGTGGCATTGCACCGGATAGGGCATGGCGATGCCCCCGTGGCAGCACCCCAAGCCACGTTTCACCTCATTTTCTTCACCTTTCTCACCACCTTTGCAAATGTGCCAACACCATAAATGTTTCACCATCACGTGCAAGTGTGTTACCATTTTCACAATCATTTTTCAAAGGTTATTCACTTCTCACCGATTGTGCACTAGGCCTAAAATGCAATGCAAATATTTCAACACCTAGTGGCACTAGATGATTGAGTTGTCCGATAAGAGCTCTCCTCTTAATGGTACGACCATCTATTCTAAATGTGATCACACTCTCTATAGTGTCTTGATCACCCGAAAACAAAAATGGCCCTATTGATATCACCTTTGCCTTGAGTTCATTTTGTTTTTCTCTTTCTTCTTTTCCAAGTCCCGAAGCTTGATCATCATCACATGTCCACACCACCACCATGGACTTCATTTCATGTGGCCATCT